TAATCTTTATGACACTATTACTTTAAAAAACTCAAATAATCAAACCACATTTTTAGTAATTTCAAAATTAAATCATTTTGACAAAATAACTTACAATGACTTATTTTACTCTTTGCAAAAACTCCGGTCTATTCTTTTAACAAATAAGATTTTTACAGTATATCTTAAAAATCCTGTAGAAGAAAATAAAATTATCAAACAAGATTTATTTAACGAATTAATAGAATTTTTATTCTCAAAATCAAATATCAAAATTGTACTTGTAAACAAACCAAAATTTTGTCCTAAAACCCGCGAAGAAATAAAAAATATTTTACAAGAGAATCATTCTTCGTCAGTAGCCGGTCATCCCGGATTTTTAAGAACTTATCATAGAATTAAAGAAAATTATAAGTGGCCAAACATGAAAGGCGATATAAAACACTTTATTAAAAGTTGCCAATCTTGTCAAATTAATAAATTAGTTCATAAAACCCCAAAAGCTCCTATGGAGATAACTACAACGAGCGAACGACCTTTTCAAAGATTAGCTATCGATGTAGTTGGTCCCTTATCATTAACAGAGGTAGGCAATAAATTTATCGTTACCATGCAAGACGATCTAACAAAATATTCATATGCAACATCTGTACCTAATCACGAAGCAAAAACAGTCGCTGACGTACTTTTGCAATTTATTTGTATATTTGGTATACCCGAGACAATCTTAACAGATCAAGGTACAGACTTCACCTCAAATCTAATTAAAGAAGTAAATAAACTTTTTAAAATTAAACACATTTTATCTAGCCCTTATCATCCCCAAACGAACGGTAGTTTAGAAAGAAGCCACTTGACTCTAAAAGAATATTTACGACACTACATAAACGATAAAACAACTAATTGGGACGAATACGTACCCTTAGCTATGTTCACTTACAATACCCACTATCATAAATCTACTAAATTCACACCTTACGAACTACTCTTTGGTCATAAAGCTTTTATACCTAGTACTCTTACCTGTAAACCAGAATTTAAATATACTTACGATGATTATTATTCTAACTTAAAATTAAAATTAAATAGATCATTCCAACTAGCTCGAGAAAATATAATAAATGCCAAAGAAACTTCTAAAATTTATTATGATAGAAATGTTCATTCACACAATTTTAAAGTAGGCGATTTAGCATATATCCTAAATAAAAATATTACACCCGGTATTAGCAGAAAATTACAGCCAAATTATAAAGGTCCCTATAAAATCATAAACATTCATCCTAATCAAACGGTAAAAATACAAATTAGTCACAAGAAAACATCAGTCGTTCATCATAATTTATTAAAACCTTTTGTTCCAGAAGATGAAAACCCTTCTTGTTCTGACACTAATTAACATATTAACACTCCCGCCTATATCCGGTAATATCCCCTATAAAAACCAAAAATTAGATTTTAAATCAGGAATATTTTATCAAGACTTAGGTCAAGTAAAACTAACCCAAGACTATTTTACACTCTTATCATTCAATAATATAAGCATTTATGAAATGAAATTAAAATTTGCCGAAAAATCGTTTTATATCTCAAAACCCTTATGCATGCACCCTAACGATAAAAATGTAACATTCAGACATTCCGAATTTTTATGCAAAGAATCTCTAGAATTAATAGAAATTCGACTTGAAAAATTAAATAAAAAACTCGAAGCCATAAACCACCTAACAGGTCATGAACCTGATAAAATGTCACTTAGAGTAAAAAGAGGATTAATTAACGGTGTATCTTATACATTTAAATGGTTATTTGGAATCCCCGATGCAGATGACGCAGAATATTATAATGACGCAATTCATGCAGTAGTTAATCAAAATCAAGACATGCAAAAACTTTTAAAGCAACAAGTTCATATAATCTCTGAAGCGATCTCTGGTTATAATAGGTCAGCATTGACACTTAAATTTAATGAAGAAAAGTTAAACAAAAATATAAAAATATTTAATAAATTTTCAAACTCAAGCATTATTAGAATAAATTCATTAACCTACGTTCAAACAGTAATGGATCATTTAAATTTATTATCTCAAATTACCGAAGAATTAGACGAAGAATTCGATGTTATTATTTCTTCAATATTATTTTCCAAACAAAATATTTTACACCCTTCAATAATTACTCCAAAATCTTTACGCGAAGAATTATTGAAAATTAATAATAAAAGAACAGATTTAGATTTTCCAATAGACCTAGATGATAATGCAAACATTTTTAAATACACGCAAATATGTTCACTCTCAGTAGTTTACACAAATAAAGTTTTAATTTATGCAATTAAGATACCACTAGTAACTAAAGATTTGTATCAACTATATAATTTGATTCCCTTACCTGTCCAATATCAAAACTCTTCAATATACTCCTATATAAACCCTTCTTTCCCTTACCTTATCCTAAGTACGACAAGAACGTATTATGGAGAGATGTCAGAATTATCGAAATGCCAGAAGATATCACCATCCGAGTACATTTGTTCCAACATCATCATACATCTAATCAAGGAAAGACCAACCTGCGAAACGATTCTGAAACTTCAAAAACCTGAAAAAATCCCATCAAACTGCGACACCAAAACCATGAAGTCAGAAATCGAAGTTTGGCATCCCCTCTCAACAAATCAATGGCTATACATCTTAACACAACCAGTCACTGGGACCATAAGCTGCGAAAATTATGGTGCTTCACAAATCACAGACGTTGTACTTCAAGGCTCCGGTATTTTTACACTACAACCGAAATGTAAATGCTACACTACATCCACGTTATTGACTTCAACTTCCAACCAAACGTCAAATTATACAAACTTTATACCTTTACTGGACATCAATAAAGACGATTGCTGTATCAAGGAGCAATCCTACCTCAAAAATGAAGAAATGTCTTCAATCAAACTCCATAGCCTCAACCTCAATGAACTGAGTCATGCACAACATAAACTCCAACAGTTCGACGACGTCCTACAGAAAAATATAAACCAACCATTCATTATCAACCATTCCAAATGGTACAACATCTTCTTTGGAAATATTTCAACCCCGACCAATGCCGTCACCTGGTTTGTATCAACAGCCACAATACTGTATCTGATAACCGAGTTAACCTGGATGATTTTCCACCTCACAGAAGAAGCTATCGTAGTCTCAACTCCGAAGCAGATGCAATGCCCATGGAGGACTTAGAACCTGTCTACACGGAGATGCGTAGGCCTCGTCTTTCGAAGAAATCTTTTAAAATTTAATTTCATAATTATAGTTTTGTTTAGATATATAACCACTATTTTATTTTATTTTAATTTTTACTTTATATATTGTACACTTTAAATTTTAATTGTATCTTTGTAGTTTACTTAGTGTTTTATAAGTTTTAGATTGTATAATTTAATTTTACCATTTAGTGTTTCAATAGGATTTTTAACCCTTATCGAAACACTTAACGGGGGAGGTTTGTTAGACCCTGTATATTTATTTGGTAAGAGTTTGTTTTTCTAATGTATATTAAATAATCTTTTAGTCGTGATCTTTAGGGTTACAAAAAAAATAAGTCCATAAATTAAATTAATAAAAAGTTCAAATAGTTCAAGTAATTATTACGCATCATTAGATATTTCATAATTTCAAAGACAGCGCTTCTATTTTTACATTAACTGATAAAAATTATCGCGCTGTATAAAAGCTCATTTTTAGAAACCAAAAGAACACTTACTACTTACTTTTCACTCACTTAACTTAAGATTTAACTTCTCGAATATTTATTATTCATTTAATTATTATGTAAAATTTATTTACAATAAACGATCTTACGAGTCAAAGTGTTAGTTCTTCGTATCCCAACATACCTGAATAATTGTGAATACAAAACAGCAAATTTTTGTTTGACAGTCAAACTTTGACTTATTATTTGTGAAGTGATTTTTAATTCTGATAATTTTTATCTGAATTTTTTTTATTTTTTGGTATTTAATTTATAGTGCTATCGATAGTTTTAAATTTTGTATTTTGGAAATAGTAAACATTTGTACTATGTACAAATACTATAGTATACAAATTGTATACAAATAAACATTTCTCATATAGGTATTTAACCATTCATTTTTGTTAAGAAATAAGATCATATTGATTTTGAAGACTTTGAAGTTGTTATTTCATATTTACAGTGCATATAGGTGTTATGGATATTAATATACCTAATATGACATTTAGAAAGAGTTCATTAGAGTTTTCGCTACACCAAAACAACAAACGTAAATATAATTTACATAACCCCAAATTTTGACATTGTTATTGTCCATTCGCAGCGCCAGCTTATTTGAAATTAGGCGCGAAATTTTGCATGCATGCTGGAGTGCGAGTATCGGTTGAAAATAGCAACTCTACGTGTGCGACACACTCCCACTCTAAAGCTAGCTTCAGAGTTGATTGAAAATGTAGCTTTAAATGACAAATTTTCAAAAGACTGCGTTCCGTACGGGGTCACGTGGTGGGACTTTGAGGCGTGGAGCATATAATATATGCTCCTGCTGTAGGTTAAAAGGGGTTAAAAAATGCATTAAATAAATATTTGTGTAATATTGCGGTTGCAGTGTAACAGTTACACCAAACATCACTATGCAGAGTTGATGGACCATCAATGATGGTGAACATTACAGAACTGGTGATTCTTCAGTGTTGACCTTTATACCTTTAACTTTGAAGGAATCAAAACCTTTACTTAATAAATTTATTGTACTGTAATCTGGGTTGTCTATATTCATATTAAAATAAGTTATTCTAGAACAATTTGTGATTTTAATGCAACATAGCAGTTGTGCAATAAATTATTCTTTATTATGGCTCTAAATAAAACTTTAAGTAAATATACAATCCTTTATTGCTAATAAATATTTAAAGGCAACAATATAAGTGGTTATAGGTATATATAAAGATAAGATAAAAAATATGAAATAACAGCATAAAGTCTAAAGGTTACCAATACTTTTCTAAAACTTTAACAAGATCTTTTGGGCTTGTGCTTGGACCATGTCTTTCAACAGGCTGTCCATTTTTGTCAATGACAAATTTAGTAAAATTCCACTTAATAAAATCGCCCAAAGTTCCTCCTTGTTTGTGCTTCAAGTAATTCCATAAGGGATGTGCACTTCCTCCATTTACATTAACCTTATCGAACATATCAAAGGTAACATTCCTGCTCTTGATAAATGTACAAATTTCTTGATTGTCTCCTGGTTCTTGTCCACCAAACTGGTTGCATGGAAAAGCCAGAATTCTTAGTCCTTTTGTTTCAGAGTATTCGTTGTAAAGGTCAACCAATTCAGCATAGTGGTTTTTGGTGTAACCGCACTGAGAAGCCACATTTACAATTATACAAACGTGTCCTTTGTATTTTTCTAAAGATACATCTTGTCCATTTATATCCTTTGCGCTGAATTCGTAAATTGATTTTGCGTCTTTGTAGTTTTCTGGATTCGACATGGTATTCGTATTTGTATTTACCGGTTTTATTGGACAAACAGTTGCTAGAGTTCGGACTGCGATTGTTGCGATACTAAACAACTGATAACCTGGAAACAACATTATACAAAAAACTGATAAAAATAAAAAATCTGCGATCAATATTTTATTTACATGCGTGGTTAGAAATCGAATGACATACCAAAATATCCCCAGTGCTATTTTTATCTTCTAGCTAAGCGACTTTTGTTTTTGCACTTCAAAGTACCGATTTACAACATATAACAAGAATATTTACAATCAAAGTTCTTTGTAGATGCGACTTTACTTTTCTGGAAGTAAAGGTCGGTTTCTCTATGGTCCATAGACTATGGGTCTGTTCGAATCTTTATCTCTGATCTTTACTAATTACACTAGTGTACACCACAATCCACACAAGAAGGTCTGTTCTATCTCGTACTAAAAATACAAAAAATCACTGCAACACTGCCAAGGTTTGGGTTTTTGCACTTCAAAGTACCGATTTACAACATATAACAAGAATATTTACAATCAAAGTTCTTTGTAGATGCGACTTTACTTTTCTGGAAGTAAAGGTCGGTTTCTCTATGGTCCATAGACTATGGGTCTGTTCGATTCTTTATCTCTGATCTTTACTAATTACACTAGTGTACACCACAATCCACACAAGAAGGTCTGTTCTATCTCGTACTAAAAATACAAAAAATCACTGCAACACTGCCAAGGTTAACGGCTGCCATTTTTGTTGTTTACAATTTTTGTGCTTTGGGTTTGTGCTCTGTTTATACAGATTAATAATCGATTTAAACTTTGTGTTTCTCATAGTAAGCCTTAAAAGAGGCCTTAAAGTGCTAAGAACAACCATTTTACTCCTCTATTGTAAAAAATAAACTTTAATTTATCAGGGCTGTCATAAAACTGTCAAATGTCAATTTTAAGGTTAAATTATAACCCACAAATTAACCTTGAAATTGTCATTTGACAGCCCTGATCACAGCTGTGACTAGACTAGTCTATGTGGTCTATGGCCCTGATAGAATAAGGCACAATCCAGGATTGTGGAATAAGGTATATTTATTATAAAAGAGGAGTAAAATGGTTGTCCTTAGCACTGAAAGGCCTTATTTGAGGCTTACAAGTGCCTCTGAAGAAACACAACGTTTAAAACGATTATTAAACAGCACAAACCCAAAGCACAATAAATGTAAACAACAAGAATGGCCGCCGTGTAACTCTGTGCAGTGTTGCAGACTGCAACTTGCAGTAATTTTTAGTATTTTTAGCATGGGATGAAACAGACCTTGTTGTGTGGATTGTGGTGTACACTAATAAATTTTTAAATTTATTATAACTTCAGGATACCTTATTGTAAACCAACATCATTATAGTTAATTACAAATTAATTTGTACAATTGATGAAAAGATGAATCCTATAGACCTATCCCTTGAATGGCACTGCTCTCTCTTCTTTTAATATTCATGGCATGGAGCCTACACAAGGAGCCCGAACTTAATAGGGAAAATTGACAAAACCTGCCCTCTAAATTGCACAAATTAAGTCTTTTTTTTTCACCACCAGCGGCACTGATTGTTGATGCGTCCTGACGTCTGCTCTTTTGGTAGCGTTTCGGTACAAATTAGTCAATTGTTTCAGAATAAACGGGACACCAGCGCCTACTTTCCTTAGGAAGATTCTTGTTTACATGCAGTTCGGACTCCTTGTGTAGGCTCCATGATTCATGGGTTAGGTCTATACCAAAGAACACCATATACCTTTACCCAAGGTGACCAACTTTCTTTGTGGGTTATGGTAAATTAACCTTAAATTTGACAGTTTGATGACAGCCCTGATAAAATAAGTTTTATTGTTTACAAATAAGGAGTAAAATGGTTGCCTTTAGCACTTTAGCGCCTCTTTTAAGGTTTACAAGTGCCTCTGTAAGAAACCCAACGTTTAAAACGATTATTAATATCTATAAACAGTACAAACACAAAGCACAAGAATTGTAAACAAAAAAAATGGCCGCCCTTAAACTCTGTGCAGTGTTGCAAAGTTCTTTGATAGAAACAGTCTCAGTTAGAAATGATTTGTATATGTGTGAAAGTATGTGATTTTTCTCCATAAATATACATGTCCATGACTCATGGATCATAAGTATGTATACATATGCTATACCCAGACTGCAATAAAGGTTCGAAAATATTCCAGGAATTCCATATCGCCTAGGAATAATCCGCTTCATTCTAGGAATATTCATTGGGAATATTCCTAGAATGATCCTCTAAAACTTCCAAGCATCATCTAAGAACATTCCCAGTGAATATTCATTAGTTTAGTTGCAATACCTCTCACCGTTGCTTACGCACGCTTGATAACTATATATACCGATAGGTTAATAATATCAGTTGGAGATGTGCCGCACATCATGTGCGTCTGTGATGGCACAGCTAAACAATGATTAGAGTGGGACTGATCTACTCAGTAACTGAATAATGGCTATACTTAAGTAAAGTTCCTGGGTATAAGAGGCAATAAGGGCTGGAAATAATCCCCAAATTATATCAAGGAATATTCCCCTAACAATCCTTGAGTCTTCTGCAGGCATATACAAGGTGGCGCAAAAGTCATCACCCTATTGGAAGATGCTATAATTTTTGCAAATGGCGACAAATGTCAATTCTGTTTTGACATTTGTGAAGTCAACACATACAAAATACACGTCAACTAGACATGGATCGCTATACTCCTCAAGAACGCGGTATAATTGTTTCGATTTTTTTGCGGAATAATTCGTCGGTGGTGTTGGCGCAGCGTGAATTTCGGCGCAGATTTCCCGGTCGTCCGACACCAACTGGGCAAACACTACGACGTTTAGCCGCTCGCCTTGAAGAATATGGGACAACACGAGATACTGCCAGGTCTGGCCCGCCCCGGAGCAGCCGTTCTGCTGAGAATATCGCGGCTGTGGCTGAAGATGTCGCAGAGGACCCCGGAGTAACAACCAGACGACGTGCCACGCAATTGGGCATCAATCGACGGTCTTTACAGAGAATTTTGGTGAAAGATTTGAAGATGTTCCCTTATAAAGTGCAGGCAGTGCATCAACTGTTAGCTGTTGACCGCCAAACGCGTGTAACCTACGCCCAAGTCATCCTGAATCTCGACCACGACGAAGACAATTTTCATCCAAAATCATCATGAGCGACGAGGCCCATTTCCATCTCTGTGGATATGTTAATAAGCAAAATTATCGCTTCTGGGGCACCGAAAATCCGCGTATAACCCACGAAGAGCCATTGCACCCGCTCAAAGTTACTGCATGGTGTGCTGTTTACGCTGGAGGCGTCATCGGGCCTTATTTTTTTGAAAACGCCGCGGGCCAAACGACTACTGTGGACGGTGAGCGCTACAGAGCCATGCTAAACGACTTTCTCCTTCCTCAATTGGATGAATTCGGACTGGAGAACATGTGGTTCCAACAGGATGGAGCAACGGCGCATACTGCCCGAGCCACAACCGAAATTCTGCAGGCTGCATTTCCGGGTCGCCTAATCTCCCGTTTTGGCAATTTGCACTGGCCGGCCAGATCGCCCGATTTAACCGTTCCAGACTTCTTTTTATGGGGTTTTTTGAAATCACGAGTCTTTGTAAACAAGCCTCAGACTCTTGAAGCCCTCAAAAATAATATTTGTCAAGAATGCGAGAACCTATCGCCGGAAGTTCTGGCAAGAGTGATGGAAAATGCCATAAATCGGGCCCGTATGGTCATCAATTCTGGCGGCGGCCACTTGACCGATATCACTTTCTCGACCTAATAAAAAAAAATTTAATACATCAAATAAACATAATCCAAAAGCAGAACCAAAGTTTTTCATTCATAAAAAAAATTACAGCCAAAGAACATCGGGTGACAACTTTTGCGCCACCTTGTATATGGAATATTCTTTTTATGATGCCTGGGTTAACCAAAAAGCGGACATTTGATTATGCCAGGAATATTCCTGGGAATATTCTTGGACGCTTGGAACACGCTTGTACAAAGTGTAAATAATATTACTAATTATTAAAAAATAATTACTTACTTATAAGTTAAGTGGGTACATGTCCATGTACATGGACGCCGGTTCAGAAGGAGTTAAAAAATACTTTAAATAAATATTTATGTAATAGTGCGGTTGTAGTGTAACAGTTACACCAGAAGGGGTTAAAATAGTATATTATGTATCAAGTTTGATAAACGCCATTTTATACACGAATTTAATTTAGGCACGAGCGAGCTTGCGAGCGAGTTCTTAAATTAATGAGTGTATAGAAAAGTTTATAAACGAGGTGCATCTATATAGTATATACTTTTTCTACGACAAATACTTACTTTTATCTTAAAATGATTTAAATCAAAAATTTGTATAGAGCGCCATCTATGAAACAATAGGGGAATCTGTGTGTCACAGTGAAAGTAAAGAAAATGTTTTAAGAGCACTTTACAGCTGTAAAGTCCGTGTCCGAATTTAAGTTTACTGCCGGCGAAATTAAAAGGTCAGTACAATGTTCATATAAACTTTTCAAATATTGGCGTTGAGAAACTATTTAATACTTTTGTATTTTTGTATTGAGATAATAAAATAATTTTCACATTTAGTATTATTTTACAAGAAAGGCAATTTGTTTTAACGATTGTTTGACATTTGACAACTTAAAACTAACTTCAGCCCGTGACTAAAGCGCCATAAAGCCACAACTTGACAATGTGTATTTAAAAGGTCACTTAGTGTCATGGAAACATGTACGATAAAGGGCGTTTTAAAGGTGGGAGTAGAAAATAGTATATTATGTATCAAGTTTTATAAACGCCATTTTAGATACGAGTGTCTAGAGAAGTTTATAAACGAGTTGCATACTATACTTTATCTACGACGAACACAAAACAGAATTTAAAGCCAATTTTATTTGTTAAAATTTTGAGATCTGTCAACTGTCACCAGGGTTGGGTCAGTAGAAA